GCCCTCGAGCCAGAATGGCTTGAGTATAACATAGTGGGCTTCAGGGTTTTTAGGGTGTTCATGGGTTTCAGGAGTTTGGGGTTTAGGGGTGGAAGGAATATCTCGAAACATACTGTGGTGGAGCTTTGGGGGCATAGGGCAAAACAGGATTTCAATCCTCTCGAACCTTGGCTCCCCCTTTCAAGAAGCTTCAGAGCCCTCAGCAGACCTAAAGGTCCTGCGGGAAAAGTTAGGGTTTAAGAGCCATCCCCCCCCCCCCTCCCCCCCCTACTAGCCCTAAACCCTAAACCCTAAGCCCTGAACCCTAATAACAGCACTGAAAGTGTAGCAGCGCACCCTTCAAGTTCCTTAAGCCCAAGGGGGGCCTCGGCTGCCAAGGCAGCGCTGGTGGAGCCAGGGCCATGGCGGCACCCTATCTACTTTGAAGATGGGCGCTTTTGGGTGGGTCTTTGAGTAGCTTTAGAATTTGGGGTCATATTCCCTCTACTACTATATAATTCTATTCAGGTATATGAGCCATAAACCCTTCTAGGGTGCATTTGGACCTAAACCCTAACCCTAAACCCGCATTTCAAGCAACCTATAAGGGCCCTAAACCCTAAACCCTAAACCCTCAATAACTTCGGGACTCAAATACCCTAGCCCAGTAGGTTCACCTTTATATCGTAGGCTTCTCTATGACCACAAAAGCTCAAGGTTGCCTACCCAGCCCCTCGGAATGATGGGGAACCATGCAACACAAATGGATTTTTCCAGGTGTGTGCCCCAGGTTCCAGAACGAAGCCATGGTCAAGCTTCCGCGTTTTTACATTCATTCTTGGAGGTTTATGGGTACTTCTAACCCCAATAATAAGGAGGTTTATGGGTACTTCTAACCCCAATAATAAGGAGGTTTCTGGGTACTTCTAACCCCAATAATAAGTCTACATTGTCACCTATTTAGAGGACTTTTGGGGGGCTCAGAGGTGCAGTGATAGTTGGGGGTTTCAAGTACCCTGAACCTCCAAGTAGGGGGCCTAGAGGATGGATGGTTTCATCTGCCTTAGGTCATGTTTGCCGCCCGCCTCTGGCACTCGCACACACTGCAGGGTTTAGCGGGGTTTAGGGTTTAGGGTTTAGGGTTTAGGGGGGTTTATGAGGCTTGACGTCCGGGGCAGAAAGCTGTAAGCTGTGATCTCGAAGGCTTGAGACCCATCTCTGGTGATCATGGCTTTGCAACTAAGGGGGCCCACACTAGCTCCTTAATGAAGGAATACGCCTTGCACCCTGGGATGTTCCCCCTTAATTATACTAACAGTCCTTAATAAGGACTATAGTAACCCCCTAGAATCCCGCTTAAGGACTGTTAGAAGAAGGAGGAACATCCCAACCTTGCACCATGTTGTGGTGCAGATTTGGGGTAAAAGGCCCCTAAAACTTAGCCAAGGATCTTGCGCTCCCTGGGAATTGGGCGCTTGTAGACCTGCCTTTCCCAGACCCCTGGGGGGAGGGATCCGAAAAGTAGATCCCCTTAAGAGTGACCCAGTAGTAGTATGAGGTGCTATTTGCGGGGTTCTACCTTTTGTGCATCCTCCCAGTGGTCTGGGTAGAGGAGCCCCTAAACCCTAAACCCTAAACCCTAAACCCTAGACCCTAGACCCTAAACCCTAAACCCTAAACCCGAAACCCTAACCGAAGCAGTGCGTCGGTCCCACCTTCGTAGCTCTGCTGGCATGCCCAGCCGTTACCCTGATCAGAGGAAGTTGGGCTGCTGCCCTACCAAAAACTCCACCTCAAATGCTTTACAGGGTTTAGGGTTTAGGGTTTAGGGCTTTCGATTGGGACGTTCCCCCGTATCCTACCAGCTCCTTAATTGGGATTATAATCGGGGCTGCTAGAATCCCTACTAAATATTTTGAACTACAGTTAAAATGGAAAGATGGTTCATCCCAAGTAGTCTTGGGCCTTGACACGGCGCCTTTGTAGGCTTTGACCGAGGGCTTTAGGGCGGGAGTTTACCCTCAAACTGGCAAGGGCTTAGGGACGAGTTCGACTGGACGACAGAACTCGTTTCCCGATTTTTTTCTCAACCTCGGTGCCCCCCTTTTAAACCCAACTCCCGGCGACCCCTAAACCCTAAACCCTAAAACCCTTAAACTCTCGGCCTGCCAAGCTGGTGGGTTCGGGGGTCCGCATGGTGATGCCCCCGGCATGCCCTGGCCAGTGCAGCGCATAAAGCTTGGTGACCAGACCGCCTGCCTGATAACCCTGCAAGCAGCCACGAGTGTTCCGCTAGTGGTGCACGGAAGTCAGGTAGGCAAATGGATCCCTAAACCCTAAACCCTAAACTCTAAACCCTGAACCCTGAACCCTAGGCCCTAAACCCTAAACCCTAAATCCTAAGCCCTAAGCCCTAAGCCCTACGCCCTAAGCCCTCAGCCCTAAACCCTAAGCCCTAAGCCCTAAACCCTTCTCTTCTGCACCCCCCCCCCCCCCTGCCCCCACACACCAGCTCGTGGAATGCCTGCATGGGCGGTGGGCCGCCCCATGGCATGCCCTGGCGAGGTGGGGATCTTCGGGCGTAGGGCTTGGGGTTTAGGGTTTAGGGTTCCGGGTCACCCAATGGAAGTTCCCAGGGCTCCTAATCGAGAAGAGCCGCTGAATCGCATCTGGACTCAGGGAGTTAAGGGAAGCCCGTAGCCCCCGCAGTTTCAAGCTAGGATGGCCCTTAAAATCCTCTGAAAAATGTTCCTGCAGAGGGTTTAGGGTTTAGGGTTTAGGGTTTAGGGTGTAGAGTATTTTTGAATATGATCCTCTTAAACCCAATAGGGGAAATAATCAAAAATCTCCCAAGGGCCTACCCAGCAGGGAAGCGGTCGGGAGGCTGTTGGGGTTTTAGGGTTTAGGGTTTAGGTTTTTTTTTTTTGGGGGGGGGGGGGATTCTAGGGAAGAGCTTGAGAGCAAATGGAGGGTCACGCGATTAATCGAGTTCAATCCTTTTTCTCGGCCACATCTTCACACACACACACATATTATATACCTATATATATATAACATACCAAATCAATAAACAGAAAGTATGTATAATATATATATATATATATAATGTGCCCATTCCTCTTGAGAACCCCGAGAGACAGGGCCTGCGTCTGCATGGGTGGGCCGCCCAGGCCGGCCTCTTCAATAGTTCCCCCAAGCCCCCAAGTCCGGAGCCCCCCGGGAAAGAAAAACTCGAGCTTCAGGAGTTTAGGGGGTTTAGGGGGTTTAGGGTTTAGGGTTTAGGGTAAAGAAAAAACTTGAGTTAGGGGTTTAGGGTTCGAGTGTATCATGTCCTTCTTCCCACAGGTTTTCTCTTTGCATTTGCCGGGCTGAAGCTCCGGGCAAAGGCTCTTTCCGTCTTTCATAAGTTGGGGCACATGCTCAGAAACACCACAGTCAAAGTCCGTTCCTTTCCATACATTCTCATGGTGTAGGTTCACTTGCCGATGCCGCAGCCAAGCAGCCTAGCACTGTTGAAGGGGAACACTTCCAACTAGATGCCCGCGCAGTAGACAAAAGTGCAGCAACTCATGCGTCCCAAAACCCTGAAGATCTTGTGAACCGCCAGGTCCTGCATTCCGGGCGAGCATCCGCCACCCGGCATGCCCTGCACAATGTCGGGGGGTAAGTTGGGATGTTCCCCCGTATAGTAACAGTTCTCAATAGGGATGATAATAGAGGGTACTGCAATCTCTATTAAGGACTGTTAGTATAAGGGGGAACATCCCAAGGAGTAAGTCGAGTGTTGATGAGATCTCGGTTGCATTGTTCAATGTGTGGCGACGTGCTGAAGATTCAGTGAGGAAGCTGCCCCTAAACCCTAAACCCGAAACCCTAAACCCTAAACCCCTCAACAAGGGCTCGCCTGCATCGGCGGGCAGCCAGAAAAGCCCTGCAGGGGAATTGGTGGCGCTCAGGGGGCCTGAATGGTTATAAGTGGGACCCTGCTTCACGCAGTTTGGGGAACCGAGCCGACAGGAGCAAGAAGCCAACAGGCACCATGGCAAAATGTTACCCCCCGCCAAACGAACTACTACACTAACTAGCTACCGAACTGACAACTAACTAATGACTGAGTAACTAACTGACAAACACATACGCACATACACATACGCACACCGACGCCACTCTGTCTCATAACTGGGTGCATACATGACTCACCTGAAAACAACAACACCATTTGTCTACATTTTGGGGGCGTCCAGCCTGCATCGGAGGCGGCCCACACATGCCGCCCATGCCCGGCATTCCCTGCCAACATTTGCAATTTTAGGTGTTTCGGGTTTCGGGCCGACACACTTGGATCAGGGAACAGCCCTCGCAGCCAAGCATGGTCCATAATCTACCTTTCATGAGTTTGCGGCGGTCCGGACCTCTCTCAGGAGTTTCATTTCTGGTTTAGGGTTTAGGGTTTAGGGTTTAGGGTTTAGGGTTTAGGGTTTAGGGTTTAGGGTTTAGGGTTTAGGGTTTAGGGTTTAGGGTTTAGGGTTAATTCCTGATCCCGATTCATGGACGCTGATGGGCGCACAAGCCTCCTGCAGCATCAACTTCTGGGTTCCCATTCTGATATCATGTAAAGACTCCGACTCGCCAAACCGCCAAGCAGGCGGAACCGACAATCTGACAGAAGTGCCATGATTCTGAAGGCCTTAAAGATCAGAACTTGGTGTATATGTTTTCTTTTGCTTAAAGATGCTTAAAGCAGAAGCGATCACAGATGGAAGGCTGTGAGCAGAGCTCGGTTCTTCCGGTCAAACCGGCGCTCCTTAAGAACATGCTCTCCGGCAAGCACCACATCATCTGCAGCACAAGTTGGCAAGAGTCTGAGCTGCGGTGTGGAGTACGACCATTCCCTGCTCTTGTGCCATCTTAAAGCAATACTTTGGTGGTAGATGACCAAGCCTTCGTCTTCTGCCTGCAAACGCCGCTGACGTTTCGAGGGCGGCTGAGGATCTGAGTGGGGACTCATGCCATCTTCAGGTTCACTCTTGTCCTGATCTGGGCCATCTTCTTCCAGCTTTGTCACCTTCCAAACAGAGCAAACCTGCGCAACACCCTCTCGGAAGAAATTGGAAGAGACGTAGAGCTTTCCTGACCTGCTGTACAGATCCGCCACATGGTGTGGCTCCTGAAACACAAAAAAATCGCAAGTGTTCCAAGTGGGGTACTGCAAAAACACCGATTTGTCCGGACCTTTCGGGTAAGCACAGAAACGATGTCTCCTCGTCAAGGTCCAGAACTGTTGGTTTTCCATTTGCCCTGGCAACATTTGGCTTCGAAGCAAGCAAGGCTGGTGGCGACCCTGCATCCCACACCTCAGCACCCAGGCCAGATCCCAAGCAAATGAGATACCGGCCTCCAGCTGACAATAAGGTGCAGGCTCGGGATGCCATATGATGGCCCATGATACGGGCGTCATCCAAGCTTCCGAAATCCGTGAAGCCGTGTGGCGACCACTGTGTTCGCACCTTGCGGACACTCGCGAAAACTCGCGTCCGCACGAGAGCCAGTTCTGCAAAGCTTAACGTGGCGCCATCCTCGTCTGTCTCCGGAGGATCACCATTCAGCCGCACCAGCTGCTCCAATGAATCAGGTCGGCCACTGATGGCAAAGCCAAGGTGCCACCAAAAGAGGCCCAAGGTCGTAAGTACCAGGACTTTTGGTCCACGACACTCTGTGCGATGCAAACCTGCCAGGCCCACTATAGAACCAAGCTCTGTAGCAACGTTCAGGCTTGCCACAGCATGAGGGTCTTTGGGTCGGAGGGCAAAGAGCTTCGAGCTCGTTGAAAGCACGATCAAACCCTCCACAATCGTGGCGCACTCAAGATCTAATGTACTGGGCGAACCCTCAAGAATATGCAACATTGCCGGCTCTGCGTGTGGCGTTGCGGCTGACTGTTCGTAGCGAAACCTAGACTCCATCTCGACCAATTGCTTTGGCCCTCCCTCGGGGATCTTTCCTTCCTCCACAAGTATGGAAGGCAAGCCTGCGCGCATCTTCAACTCCATGTTTATCCTGGGGCTGCAGGTGTCGGCAGCCCATGTTCGCAGCACCTTCGTTGGCAAGGATCGCACGTCAACAAAGTCCTTGATGCTGGGCAACCGTGTGGACAACTGCAAGAGCACGTCTTCGTCAGCTTCCTTCATATGTACCTTCCTCTCAGCCATCAGTTTGAACACTACGTCGCTCTGGCAAAGCCACCCATGAGTACGGAGAATCACCCATCATTGGCTCAACGCTAAGCAGCACCGCTTTAAGGTCACACTCTGCGCCCAGAGTGGAGCTTTCTGCAGACTTGAGCAACTTGATGAAATGTCGTTGCAAAAAGCTTGCAGCAGCTTCTCGCAAACGATGCCCCTTCATGACACCAACATCAAAATCGCGGAAAACTGCCAGGGCAAGTTGAGTGGTCTCAACATCTAGCGCCTCGGCTTGCCGTTGCCAGCTGTAAGCGCGCAGCTGCTTTTCTATGGCGTCCGCCACCGCAGTTCTCAGCCCTTGCACCTGAAACTGATCAGCAAAGTGGAAAAGAGATGACAGTCTTGACTTGGGTGCCATCACCTGCCCCTGCAGAAAAAACTCCTGAACCGCCATGATATCGCTCGGGTCACAGCCTTTGATCTCAAAGCGCCCTGCAGAATTTCGCTTGGCAAATGGCCCCGACAATAAGCATCGAAAGTAAGGCGAAGCAATGCGGAGCAGCACACTGTTGCAAGGTAGCTCGTGCTTATGGCCAGACTCGTCTATGATGTCAAAGATTTCATCTTGCTCGCTTCCAAGTGCTTGCAATCCACTGAGCACGTGCTTTGCCAAGATGGCTTGCGATCTCTGCTTGCCGTAGTCTTCATGTTCATCGTCTGTGTCATATGGCCATGAATGGCAAGGCGACAACTTGACGCATGATCCACTCATTGAAGAGCTCAAGGAAGCTTGGGGCACTGCGCTGGAAGTGGACTAGCAACAATAAACATGGTCAGGCACATCCGATAATCAGCCTATAAACGTCGCACTGCTTGCTCTTAGCGTTCGCTTGCTCTACATGAAATTCACACATGCGCATGCATGTATAACATCGTGCAGGTCTTGAGCAAACGGCCAATGCGTGTTTCGCATTTGCAGGCTGCGAAGTCGCACGATGCCTCCCCTCCCCCGTCTCCCACAGCCCAAACCATCAGCCTAAACCCTAAACCCTAAACCCTAAACCCTAAACCCTAAACCCTAAACCCTAAACCCTAAACCCTAAACCCTAAACCCTATAGCGCGTCGGAAGCCCAGAGCCGATGCTGCGCCTGTGGCGCAGGGCCCGGCCTGAAGCTGTCGAATTCCCATCGGGGGTTGGGGTTTAGGGTTTAGGGTTTAGGGTTTAGGGTTTAGGGTTTAGGGTTTAGGGTTTAGGGTTTAGGGTTTAGGGTTTAGGGTTTAGGGTTTAGGGTTTCGGGTTTCGGGTTGAGGGTTTAGGGGATCCCCTAGACTTGATTTTGGAAACCTGTTTTCCTCCCTACACACGCTGTAAAACCCACAGGGCACGTACTTCAGAGCCCTTTAATATTAAAGAAGGGAAGGGGTAAGAGACCATGTAGCTTCCCTTAGAGGGGCTGGGGGAACGCCAGGGGTTTCTAGGGTTTTGAGGCTTCCGTCCGTCACCCGTTTACGGCTTATTAGGGTTTAGGGTTTGTTGGGGCATAGGGTTTAGGGTTTAGGGCTCATTTGGGTTTAGGGTTTATTCGGCGTTAAAGTTCAGGCTTTATTAGGGTTGGTTTTTAGCGCGGAGGGGACCGAACGTTTTTCAGGTCTTCCTGCGCAAGTCCCTGAGCTTCAACAGTCAGGGCCCCAAACCCTAAACCCTAAACCCTAAACCCTGAACCCTAAACCCTAAACCCTAAACCCTGAACCCTTTGTACAGCAGGCCTCGGGAAGCTGCAGCCTGGTCCCAGCTCCCAGCACAGGCACCGCGTAAAGCAGGGCATTTCATGAGGCCGTAAACTAAACCCTGCATCCTAAACCCTAAACTAAACCCTGAAACTAAACCCTAAAACTAAACCCCAAAACTAAACCCTAAAACTAAACCCTAAATTAAAACTGAACCCTAAAACTAAAGCCATCAGGTCACTATAGCGACTCAGAGACCCTGGCATGGCATTGCCGCAGGAGCCGCCATAGCCCCCAAATGGCTGTGCCATGGCCTTCGGTTCAGGGAGTAAGGCTCGTACCCCTAAGGTTGAACCCCTTAAATATCACCCTTAATGTACTCCTAGCCCTTCTATTCCCTTAGAGGATCCTTGAAAAGCGCGCCCCCCCAAACCCAGGGGTACAACCTTAGGCGTCCAAGGTAGAACCCCATGGCTGCGTTCAGGGGTTATTCAGGTCCGTTTGGGCCTTGGGGCTTTACGGAGTTCAGGATTTAAACCCAACCCTACCCTAGACCCTAAACCCTAGACCCTAAACCCTAAACCCTAAACCCTAAACCCCTACTCTACGGCTCCAAGAACCCCCTTTTGACACCCTACGTCCTCACCACTCCGAATGTGGCCGAGTAAGACGAGCGGAACCGACTTGAAGCACGTCCGCAACCCACCTTACCAGTTTAGGGTTTAGGGTTTAGGGTTTAGGGTTTAGGGTTCTTAACAGGGACTTCGGGAACATGGAACCCTAAACATGGCAGGTTATGTAGAGGACAAGGTACCTCCCTGGCTCCAAATTGAGAATGCTTTGAGACTCCAAGACCCCTTAATTAAGGAAGATACCTTAAATCATATTAGGGTTCCTATTACAATTTAAGGGATATACCTTAATCAAGGGGTTTTGGAGTCTCTGGAATGCTTGAGAATGCTAGTCAGCCACCCTCCCCTCCGTCCTTGAAGGGGCTTTTGCCTTATCCGGCAGTCTCGACGACCGCGCGCTGCTAAGCACAGTGCTCTTGTCTTTGGTTGACTGGTTGGGTGCTTTGCGTGGAGTTTCGGCAGGCTACGGTTGAGCGATGATGGGAGCCCCATTGCTGCCCAGAATGCCGGGTTCTCTTGATGTCTAAACTACTCTAAGGGCTCAGAGCGCAAAGGCCGGCACTCAAGCCGGGCGAGCTCTTGGGCCCCCAGGAAGAAGTGGAGAGATAGGGCGGCTCGGGTGAGGACGTGAACTACACATCTTTATAGGCACTTCATGTCGTGCACTTCAGGCATCTACGTATGTATGCTCAACCCTAAACCCTAAACCCTAAACCCATACTGAAGGCTTCAAGTCTGTTGCCCGACATGCAGGGGGTTGAGGTCTTCGAAGCTGCCAGCTCCTACTTCTGCAGGTGACGCAAAACGAACGTACAAGAAGCTCCCGAAAGAAATCTGCAGACAACTACAGCTCCCTAGAACTCCCTAGATAATCAGGACACCAAGGTTGCAACGGCAAGCGGGAAACAAGCACGAGCAGCAAACAACAGGCTGTGGTCTGGAGGACCCGCCGCCAAGAAAAAAGAAAGCCCGCGACGTCCCGCAAAAACTGAACGAGTTGGCCGTGCCAAAAGTGTTTCAAGTCGGTGCCCTGCTTCTATAAACCGTAGAACCAAGCTCTGAACCCTAAGCCCTAAGCCCTAAACCCTAAACCCTGAATCCTAAACCCTAAACCCCAAACCCTAAACTTAAACCCTAAGCCCTTCACCGGCTCCCTGGTGCTCTAGGATGGCCCCCTGAAAGCCCTCTGAAAAACAATCCTGAATATCATCCTCTTAAAACAAAAAATGAGGGCCTACGGAGTGCCCCGTTCCCAATGCCCCGCTGCCCCGAACCCTAAACCCTAAACCCTAAACCCTAAACCCTAAACCCTAAACCCTAAAGTTCCCCATGCGCTGATGCCCCGAATCCTGAGAAGCTTTTTTTTTGCAAGCGCCGGCGGCTCCACAGCTTCGCAGACGGGCTTTTCTTTGTTCTGAAGTTGGGCCTGGCTTATATACATGTTTGTACTATGTATATATATATATATATATATATATGCACACATCATATACATATACATACACACACATATATACATATCAAAAATGTCGATCATGATTGTATGAATAAATGCATAGATTAAATACATATTTTGAATGCATACAGATATATATATATATATATATATATATCTATGGACTTTGACTGAGGCCCGACCTCGACATCCGCATGGCTTGGCAAGCAGGTGAATCCACGACGCCGTATGGCGTCGCCCACGCGATCTAATCACGACGGCTTGGACTTGAGGCAAGAGGTGGTTCGCAACATGATCGGCCCCCATTCTAGTCAAAACGTAGAATCTTGAAGCTCTGAAAATACACTAGGTAGGCAAACCCGAAGTTGACGCCCTTGATCCGAAGGCCTCTGCTACGCTGGTTGACCTCTGAAGTCATGCAAGTTGCTTTGCAGGGGCTCTAGCATGGGGAGTAGAAGATGGATTGCCTGAGCCTCTCACGACAGGCCATGGATGATGAACCATGCTTGGAGGTTCGTGCTGCTTATGAACGCAATAATAACTGCATTGACAAGGGTACTTCAGGGGCTGATAAGGGGTGATCAGTACACTCGTTTCAGCGGCTTATAATGGGGTGATAAGTACACTCATTCCATGGGGTTCTATGTATCAAGCGGACTCCTCGCATCCGAAGGCCTAACACCTACATCGCAGATGCCTCGGTAATGCGAAGGGTAGGCGCGAAGTCTCTTCCCTCAAGGTTTTCACCCGTGGCAGCGGGTGAACGACTACGCTGGTCAGTGGCAAACTCCTGTTGAGTTCTTCTGCTCCCTCAGGAACGTGCTGGCCTTTAGTGTGGTTGGGTTCGGGTCGTCGGGTCATCGCGTGCTCGAGCATGTAAGATGTACAAGATAGCTTTGTAGCCTCATTCTCGCTTCGGCCTCTGGTGCGACCGACTCCTATGCCTGTGCTCCTTAGTTCCTTTCACACCACGCTTTCGAAAACAATGTGCTCAATCCGCTCCAAGCCTGAAGGCGCCTAGACATAATGGCCCTGAGAACCAAACACAGTTCCGACCTTGCTGGCTGATTCTTAGTAGGGAATGAGGGACTGAGGCACCTTATATACCCCTATGCATACCCTGTCAGGGATTATATAGGGTACCTCATTCTCCCATTCCCTGCTAAGAACCGGGGAGCTTAAAGCCCGCAAGAATTGAAACTCTGAACCACAAGCGCGACCACGCTAAGGTGGGACACTCCAGTGCATCGCAGCCTTCAGATATCTTGAAGCTTGGGACGTTCCCCCTCTTGCTAACAGTCCTTGATAGCTTTTTCTTCAGGGTACTAGAATCCCTATCAAGGACTGTTAGTATAAGTGGGAACGTCCCAACCCGAAGCACTTTGGACCCTAAACCCTTTCTGGGGTTAGGGCTTTGGGACAGGCGCAGTCGAGAAGAGTTGGGGGGGGGGGGGTACGTAAGAAGGTCTGCCTTCCTGTTGCTTTACTAATTGAGGGATTTGGGAAGGAAAAACCCGCCCTAAGGGTCCATGTACTTAAAGGGATAACTTACGCCTTAGAGTACTTCCATAATAACGCACATGGACCCTAAAAAGAACCCTGCTATTGCAAGATTCCCTTGACAGGGAGATCTTTCGTGGACAGAGCTGGCTCGGCTCGCGGCAAGACTGGCCTCCGACCTGTGCAAGGAAGCAGGCGTTGTAGCACTACAGGATACCTCGGACCCTCTTTACCTACAGCTTTATGGGTATATGCCTAATGTTGCACCCTGTTTAGTGTGGGGGGCCCCCCCCCCCCCCTGAACAGTTGAGGCGTGGATGGGATCTTGATTACACGGCCCCGGGGGCTCATATGATTTCAATAGGGAGGAGTTTAGATAGGTTCGAAAGGGGCAGCGATGCCCGGTTATCTTTTTTAAAGGCGCGCCGCGTGGAATTTTCTTACGGCGCCCGGACGATTTGTCTTTAAAGAGGGACTCCCAAACAGTCAGCATGTCCTGAATAATTCGGCCAGTTTGTCTTTAAAGAGGAGGCCAATACTAAACAGGGTGCAACATTACTAGTTAAGGGCAGGTACTACTAAGCAGTAGGGAACTGGAGCCCCAGGTAAGCCTGCTTTGGCCGCAACAAAGGCTGGTAGGACTTCGCGTGGGTTGCGTTGTGGCTGCTTCGTGCGCACTAGGATTGGCAAGTTTTGCCCGTCTGCCCGCTGCGTGCAATGTGTTTTGGGGTTCCTTAAGCAGGTGAACCGTCGCTGAAACAAGTTTCGCTGCCTTTCCCCAAACAGGTTGTAATATCAGGGGGGATATCCAAAACATTTCAACCCAAAACCTCTACAACCTCCCCGTAAGTCCGCCAAACCCGTCAAGCCCGAAACCGCGTAAAGCCCTACCTGGACCCCCAACGTATGTTAAAAAAAAAACCCAAAACCCATACACGGACCATTATCTTACATACTCTGGGGGTAAACCCCAAACCCTAAAACCCAGCCCTCGTCCCCCCCGCTTCCGGCGCCTGGCTTTTCGAAGTCCTGGCCCGGCCGGGCCAACGGGCCTGAAGAAGACGAACAGCTCGACAGTTTGAGGGGAGTTCTTCAAAGGGACTAAAGGAAGGGCCCTTATAAGGGACCTAGGGGGTTATTTTGGGGTTATTTGGGGCTGCTTAGGTATAGAGGGACTATATAAGTATTTTGTAGTATACCCCTTAAGTTCTCCACTTAGTAGCCCAATAGCCCATATTACCCTTTTTTTGGTTGGCTACTTAACAAGGGAACCCATAACCAAGAAAAGTGAAGGGCACTAAATAGACTTAGTAGGCCAGTGGTGCTACTAAGTCTATTGGGCATTCCAATACTTAGGCTCTGCATAATTCTTGGGCATCCTAATACTGACGCTCCGTATTAATTCGTTGGGCACCCGTATTAGAATGAGAGGTTTTACAGGGGGCCATTCATGAGAGAAAGGAGAAAGGCCCCCTTACCCCCACACATAAGGGAGGGGAGGGGGAGTCCAAAACTCGTGGAGTGTTCGGGTGTGTGCAGGATACCCAACAAGGGAGCATATTGTGGGAACCGACGACATAATCGTTTAGAATGGATTTGGTACTATGATGGGAAAACCCTAAACCCTAAACCCTAAACCCCAAACCCTAAACCCTAAACCCTAAACCCTAAACCCTAAACCCTAAACCCTAAATTGGTTTCGGGCTCTAGGATGTCCAGTGGCGTATAGGGGGTTTGGAGTGTCAAGTTTCGGTTGAGGCTGAGGAGAAGAAATGAGGGCCAACTCTTGTGACGTATGTTGCACCCAAACCCCGAAACCCTAAACCACCAAAACCCAAAAACCCTAAAAACCCAAAACCCTAAAACCCCCCCAAAGCCCTGGAGACTGGGGACCCTGCTTGCTCTTGCCCTTCTTGCCGGACTTCTTAGGCTGGGCAGTGGGCGCCTCCTTCAGCTCTGAGGATGGTGAGGCTGGAGGGGGTTTAGGGTTTAGGGTTTAGGGTTTAGGGTTTAGGGTTTAGGGTTTAGGGTTTAGGGTTAGGGTTTAGGGTTTAGGGTTTAGGGTTTAGTCTGGAGGGGGGGTGGGGGGGTGTTGTGGTTGCTCTAAGTGAAGAGGATCAGGGGACCCAAATTTCAACCCTTTGGAGCTTAGGGCTTGAAGCTCTAAAGGGCGGAGGTTTGGGTCACCCTGATCCTCGTCACACAAAGAGCCAAAGTATGCGAGGCTGCACTTCTGGGCTTCTCGTCCTTAAACCCTAAACCCTAAACCCTAAACCCTAAACCCTAAACCCTAAACCCTCAAGGGACCACACAAAGGGAGCGGGGCTCCCAAACGTATGTAGCAAGATCCCCCTATGCCATGCAGCTGTTCTGCTCCTTCAGAGGCTCCAAGGTTGCACCTGCCCAAGGGTTTAGGGTTTGGGGTTTGGGGTTTAGGGTTTGGGGTTTAGGGTTTAGGGTTTGGGGTTTAGGGTTTAGGGTTTGGGGTTTAGGGTTTAGGGGGTCTCAGGGCTCCAAGCTCTTGAGCTTTGATGGGCTGGTCTAGGGGGTCCTGGCTTAGGCTGGATGCTCCGAGCCTAACCCCTAAACCCCAAACCCTAACCCCCAAACCCTAAAACCCTAAAGCCCTGAGGCTGGCTAGAAAGCCACACGGAGCCTGATGTCAAGCTGCACCCCGGCACTTCCCTGCAGGAATAAGAGACAACCCACCCGAGGCAAGCTACACACAGCCTAATCCCCTCCCCGAATTCTCCACCCCCCCCCCCCCCCCCCTCTCCCTACCCCCCAATACGAAAATACCACATTGTAGCTGTATTAGAGTTTATAATTAAGGCTTAAAGTTTTGGTTTTAGGGTATTAGAGTCTATGAGGGGGTATTTAATGTTAGGGGGTGGGAGGGGGGAATATTAGGGGGAGGGGAGTAGGTCGGCCCCTCAATCCTGGGCTCCGAATGAGGATGTCTAGGTAATCAAGGTTGCCGCCAAAAAGGACCTTCAGAAGGGGTTTAGGGTTTAGGCCTGCTTGGAAACTATCCGAAAAAACTCTCCTACCCTAAACCCTGAACCCTAAACTCTAAACCCCAAGCATGATGGGGGGGAAAGGGCATCGGCCTGAAAGCTTGCGTGGGTAAGCTTCGGGCTGGTGCCTTGGAAGGGCCGCAGTCTTCTTGTGTGGCTTCTTGGGTGCTTGTGTCATTTTGCTAAGTAAGTCTGCAGATTCTAACCCTAAACCCTAAACCCTAACCCTAAAACCCTAACCTAAACCCTAAACCCTAAATAGGCAGAAGTTTCACGGGTTCAACGGGCTTCCGAGTCCAGTGTGCCCCAAGGCTGATTTGGAGATCCTTCCGCGGCGTGGGCTCAGTCATCAAGCCTTGCCGCGCTTCTGTTCTGATCGATTGCTTGCCAGGTTAGTATAAACCCTAAACCCTTTTAAACGCTGAACCCTGAACCCTGAACCCTAAACCCTAAACCCAAAGATCCGCAGTGAGTCCCTCAACTCACATGAAGCCCCTAAAGCAACTACAGGCGCCGGCCCCCGAACCGAAGGCCATTTCTGAGAACTCTTTGGTATCTGATGTTATCATGGGTTCCCCTCCCACCCCCCTCGAGGGGGGTAGGGTGTTAGGGCTGTGGCGTGGGCTTCCTCTAAGGGCTGCTGGGACGTCCATATCGAGTTGCTGGAGTCTCTGACCCTAAACCCTAAGCCCTCAACCCCTAAACCTCTGCCCTGCGCTGCAGCTTGAATTACAAGGCTGTATCCGAGAGATCTGTTGCGGAGAACTCGCTCCTGACCTGCGTCGCTCCGTTGCTGTTAGGGCTGAGCCTTACATGACTTGAAGCCTCAACTGTAAGGACGACATGAACCCTGAAATCGGGGTCATGTACCCAAAGCTACTATAATTCCTGTTAAGGCACTTGAGCCATAAACCCTTTCAGGGGTTCATTTGCTCCGAAAGGAAGTGACCCTAAATCTCGGCAACCAGGAGGAAGCAGCTACAACTCATCCCGGAGATCAAGGCGGCCACTCGCCCATCTCGTCGTAATAATGCACATGGTGGTGGATATGTCTGTGAAACACACCTGGCCCAAGTGTGTGGCGACTACATGTTCCGGATTTGGAGGTTTAGAGGCATTGTTTTCTTTGTCTCGGGCTGAACTCCATGATCTGCGTTGTTATGATCTGGTTCTGAAGGCGCCAGAAACCTAGCAGAGCTCACATCGGACCTAGTGCCCACTTCTTGCTTCGACGTCATCGCTCTTTGATACTTGGTAGGCCAGTAACCATTTTGTGATAAGGGCACCCATTATGGGTTGGTTACTTTTTGAGGCTATGCTAATCAAGACAATTCTTGCAATCATAATGCGAATAAACGCTACCCTCAAACGCTTTGGCCCTGCGGGCCTTGCACTTGCGAATTCATCATGTCTGTGTACTCGACCTGCGATGGGATTGGGTACCTCGGACGAGGTGCAGGCCCTGCAATCGAAGGCCATTGCGACAGGCAACCCAGGCACGTCTACTGCATGCCCTAAAGCCTAAACCCTATAAACCCTATATGCTAAACCCCATGTCTCTCCTCCTCAAAAGCCAATGTGCTTTCCCGAGCATTCAGCCCCAAGCTTAAACCCACAATCTTAAGACCTGAACCTTGGGATGTCCCCCTTATACTAACAGTCCTTACGAGGGATTCTAATAGGGGTACTAGAATCACTATTACGGACTGTTAGTATTGGGGGAACATCCCAAGCTGAGCTTCTCTCGCCTCCGACTCTACATCCCCAAAACCACAAAACCAACACTGTAAGTCATATCAATTCTTCAATCCCCTAAATCCCCCCAACCACCCCAACCCCGCAACGAAACCCTCTCAGCGCTTCTTTACTACTATTTGCTTATGAACCCGCAAACAACTAGGACCTCTAGGAAGATCATTCCTCCTCTGTTACCCAGATGAGGAAGAAGATCTTGTCGAAAACTTTTTGTGGGTTCTTAGCCCAGACCCCTGGGATGATCCAAAAAGAATCCCCCCAAAGAGTACCCCATGCTACTAGTGGGTCATTCTTAGGAACCCTCAACCGTAACCCCTAAACCCTAAACCCTAAACCCTAAACCCTAAACCCTAAACCCTAAACCCTAAACCCTACATCCTGTCCGGGCTCTGGGAAGCAAGTCGTAGTCTTGTACTGGGATTCCGCGCCGCTGTCTTCGCTGCTCATCGAGGCGCTCGCGGCGGAAGCGGAGGTCCATCTTTTGCTGCTCGAGCCTCTTGGGGTTTAGGGTTTAGGGCTAGGGTTTAGGGTTTAGGGTTTGGGGTTTAGGGCTAGGGTTTAGGGTTTGGGGTTTATAGGTTTAGAGACTGGGGTTTAGGGTATGCTCAGTGTGGCGTTGAGGTTTTCAGGGGTTGTTAGGGGCTTACCCCTAAACCCTAAACCCTAAACCCTAAACCCTAAACCCTGGACCCTGGACCCTGGACCCTATTCCTTGGGGGCTTCAGGGGTTAAGGGGTTCATTTCGGGGTTGAGGTGTGCATTTAGGGGTTGTGGCGTTAGGGTTGAGTGTCACCTAAGCCACACGTCCAATAAACAAAATCGAGCCTATGGTCTGTGTTTTAGGGGTTGAGGGGGGTTTTAGGGTTGCCACCCGCCACGGCACTGCTGCTGATACGACTCCGGTTCGGGGTCTGAGGGATTTTAGGCTTAGGGTTTTACGGTTTAGGGTTTGAGGGGACCCCCCCCCATAAGAGTCATATTCTGAAAGTCATCGGGTGCAAGAGTTGGCGTGCCTAAATGACCCCGAAACCCAATTATCATTCTGATGGATATGATTACGAGTATAGCTACTATGCTTCACGCTCCAAGCCTTTGCCCTTCCCAAGCCCTTTGGAACCATCAAACTCTCCGCATCCTAAACCCACCTCCGAGGGCTTCACCCTGCCCTAAGCCCTTTTGAGACAGAAGCTTGGTGAAGGCCACCCACAGAGATAACTACTGAGAAGCCTGTGTTCAAGCCTTTGCCCTAAACCCTGAGTCGATCTAAACCGGACTGCTCTTCTATCTGCTTCAGAACCTAAAATATTACAGATAATGATCCCTAACTTACCCTGAAAGGAAGAGTTTGTTTTTTATTTATTTTCGTGGGGTTCTAAAGCAAATAGTACTTGGCTGCACTTAGCAGGGTAGCTACAAATTTAGTTTTTAGCTGCCTTAGGAAAGAAATCCAATAAACCTCAAAAGGCTAAGGATCTAAAGTTACAGTAAAGCGCCACAGAGTATGGGCGCCCGAGCTTGTTCAGCGCGGCCATGTCGACCAAGCCCGGGCGAATGTAAAACTGTGGTCTGCCTGGCTCTGGAGTGCAGGACGATGTTTGGGGTTTAGGGTTTGGGGTTTAGGGTTTGGCAGAGCTCTCCTACTCTGTAATGACCCCTAGGCCCAGCGACGTAACTGAAGAACTTTGCACAACATTTCAGTATGATCCGGATTGCATTTAAGGAATATCCTGTATCCGGCAAGGAAGATGTGCTAAACTATCGAGGGTTGATGCGAGTACGACTCAAGGTATGTGTTCATAATCGGAAATGGGGCCCCACCCGTTCTGTAATGTTCTCGAATGCTTGGGATTGGGAACTCTCCGTGCATGAAACCCCGCCCCCTCTACTTGACCAGCCCAACAGCACGAATTCAGGCCAAACTCAGTTAAGCCTTGTTTGAGCCGTTTTTACTGGAAGGGCGGCAGTTAAGCGAGCCGGGTCACAACCTGAACAGCTTAAACTTGAACCCTCAGCCCTACATCCTCGCATAAGCCATAAAAAACCCCTACCCAAAACCCGAAACCCCTCAGAAGTAGGAGTGGGAAGCATTCCATCTGAAGCTAAGCCGGGGTTGTTCCCTGAACCAGCAGGTCAACAACCCTAAACCCTAAACCCTAAACCCAAAACCCAAAACCCAAAACCCTAAACTAATGCGCGGTAGAAGAGGCCCCCCATGGTCCGTGCGCGCTGGCCTGTTCGGTCCATGGCTGCCTCCGGAGGGCATTCGCTTTCTAGGTGTCTCGGGCCCGCGTGCACGTTGACGGAGGATATATGCTTCGTCTTATACAGGGGCCGTTCATGTGAAGAGGACTATGGGTTTAAGGACTCAGAGTTTTGTTAGTTCTTCAGACCCAGGTTCGATTGCACCGGTTCGTAGATGCTCTCCCAGGGCAACACGTGTTTTGCCAAACCTGCTTCTGATCAGAAGGGGAAATGAACAGCTTCAGGCAGCAACTCTGGACACTAGACGATGTTTCTGCGAAGACATCAATATGGTCAGCTCTCAACTATGGTCCCTTTCTGGGTACCCTAAATCAGAAGGGCCGCCTTAAAATAAGAACCTAAACCCTAACCCTAAACCCAAAACCCTAAACCCCCCAAAAGGGGGACCATCCCTTAGAGAAGTGACCATATGGGACAAAACTGGGCAACTCTTGCGCCGAGGCCCCCACAGCCGCCGGACCTGGCCGCCGCAGCTGCGTCTGCGCAAAGGCCTTGCCGAAAACGCAACAAGAATCCTTAGGGTTTAGGGTTTAGGGTTTGGGGTTTGGGGTTTGGGGTTTGGGGTTTAGGGTTTGGGGTTTAGGGTTGAAGCCCCTGGTTCCCTTTCTTGCAATCAGGTCTCTGAGCAGCTAGGTAAGAAACCTTTCAGGCCCTAAACCCTTAGAGTCCTCGACTGAGCCAAGGAACCCGTGTAGGAAAAGCGCCACAGAATGGGGAAAACGTTTAGGACTTTAGAAGAGTTAAGGTTTCTCCCCGGCCCCCTTATTAGAGGAAGCTATTGTCTTCGGTATTCAGAGCCGCATTGCCTTGTCAGGTTCTTTGAATGAGGGTGGGGACTTTTTGTCCCTGAGGTGGTGATGTCCGTTCTTCGATGTTGCGTATGGCTGAGGGGGCTGATACCTTCAAGACAGAACACCACGTTCTAGTACAAGCATCTGGGATGTCAAAGTAAACCCTCACAACTCGCGCTGAAGGCATCTTGCAGTGAAGCTTGGCCATTTTGATCGGGGTGCTGTGCTCGATATACATAGGGCTATTCAGAACAGGCAAGTTGTTAGGGTTTTGGGCCCCTAAGGGCGTAGGGTATTTAGGGCCCTAAACCCTAAAACCCCTGAAGCCTGCTTTACAGTGGCGGAGGAGCTACGCCCCGCCACGCCCCCCCCCCCCCCCCCCCCCTTGTTGCGCAATGGTTTTGCTGAAGAGAATGTGGGGTTTAGGGTTTAGGGTTTAGGGCTCTTATGCACATCTATGGCGGGGGGCCAGGATTCATATCTTGGAAGGCACGCCTGCACCCGAAACCCTTAAACCTGAAGCCCTCAGCCCTAAAATCACCACCCCCTCCTTTCACGCTACGAGCCAAACCCTTTTGGACCCCCACCGCCACGTAGGCGTCACCGTCCACATTCGCAGGTCTCAGCTGAATCTGGGCAGCGCGCATGGTGTATCCCCGGTTCCACATCGGTCACTAAACGGTCCTTCTAAGGCCTTCCTATTTTAACTCTGAAGGCCCTTGGTTCTGCACATCTAGCCCCATTTCTATACCCAAGAATCTCAGCACGTGTGCTCATGACAGAAACCGTGTTCATCGGCTGCTGGTTGGCCCAAGGATTCATCGACAGTGAAGCTTAAACCCCGAAGGCCAGACTCACTGAGAGCTGCGAGCAGAGGCTAGAGCCAGTAAGTCTGAGAACCCCCGAAAAACCAAGTATGGAGGGTATCCTTCGTGGTACTTTCCGTCCTTCGGCCGGAAACTCCAAAGGGAATCCAGCACAGCCCTGTCCTCAAGGGGCCTGGTCTTGAGGAAAAGCAACCAGCGCCCATCAAAGCCCAAGCCCGAAACCCTTAAAAACCACCCGCCTGGGGTGCCGAAGGCGCCGAAGGTATAGGGGCAGGGGGTCGAGGCTCCTGGCGAGGTTGTGCGTGTGCTGGAAGGAAGTATTTGCACACGTACATACCTCTTACAGGGGCGTGTCCTGCTGTAGGGCAGCGCGTTTACTCCAAGATTGGGGGTCTACGACGGTCTACGATTCTTCTTCAGTTCGGACAAGTGCATGGCTATGTCCTGTGGTTCCTTGAAGCGCAAGCAAGTACTGGCCATCCAACAGCTCATCGCCCTTGCTTGTCCATTTTCTCTGGGAACTGAATGTCAGCATTTGGGAGCATATAAAAGTAAGGATTTTACCACTCCCCCTTCCTCCCCCGAAAATCCTGGGCTACCCCAAGCCCTGAACCCCAGGAGGTGAAAGATTCCTGGGGCTGCCCTCGGTGGTCCTCGTGAGACCGCGGTCGGCTTGCTTTGCTCAACTGGCGACTTCCCTTGCTGACCTTCCGGCTGCCTGGCAGTAGTATAGGGGCCTGAAAAATTAGATTGTAACAGTGTAACTGTAATATAATTATATGGGGACCATGAGGGAATACTATTAGTAATTTTCCGACCCCTTTATTGCGGACTGTTATGGTAAGTCTGACGAAGTTCAGCGGCCTAAGACCTGAAGCCTGAACCCTACAAGGAGGGGCCCCCTAGTTACAAGTAGAGTTATAAGAGCCCTAAACTGGGTTATAAGGATCCTAAATTAGGTTATAAGTCCCTTAACTACAGTTAGTATAGTGGGGGGGGGGGGCCCTCCCCCTGGTTCTTAGTAGGGAATGAGGGAACGAGGGCCCTATATAATCCCTTAAAGGGTATATATAGGGCCCTCATTCCCTCATTCCCTACTAAGAACCAGCCAGTTGCAGAGTCTGAAAAGCTTTCATCGACTGGACTTGGTGGGAGGTCCCTTGGGTGGTCGCAGCTCATGGGTCTTCCCTGCGGTGCCGACAAAGCACGAAGGAAGTTGTGCTTGGGGTTTTAGGGTTTTAGGGTTTTAGGGTTTTAGGGTTTTTGGGTTTTAGGGTTTTAGGGTTTAGGGGATTTAGGGATTTAGGGTTTTAGGGTTTTAGGGTTTTAGGGTTTTAGGGTTTGAAGGCTTTCGGGTTTTAGGGGTTTTAGGGGTTTTAGTGTTTTAGGGTTGGCTGTCCAATTCTTGCGACAAGCCAACATGCTCTCAACTACTGGTGGCTAGGTGAGTAAACCCTGAAGCCTAAACCCTAAACTCAGGTCATGCCTCCACAAAACTTGGCTTCCCGCACAAACCCTCGAGCCCAACGTCTTGACTCAAAGTCCAACTGGCAAAGACTCGAAAGACACCCTCGGTGGCCTTGACTCCGTCCGGAAGCTTCTTGCCTTGGGCACACACTTACGTGTTCGAATTGCTTTCAAAGACTAAGTTGAGGTGCTGGGTTGGTCTTCTCACTCCGCCATCAACCCTACAGCCGAAGAGCAAGAGTGTTGAGGCTTTTCTTTTGCCACCCGTCTAGCAGGGAAATTCGCCCTGCGCAAGATTGGGGGGATTCAGGTCTAGGTTTTGGGGGTTCATCGTAGAGATCCCCGCCAGTCGGAAAGCCCTAGAGCCCTAAACCCTCACTTCTGCTGCACAGCCAAGTAGGCACATATAACTCTTTGTCCAGACGGTCCCCTTTCAGAATGGAACCCCACCTTAACATCTTTCAAAAGGCACCGAACCCTAAAGCCCCCAGTAACCCTTTGATGATACGGCTACCCGATTTTGGGGGTTGGCTACTTTTTGGGAACCCATAACCAAAAAAAGGGTGAATTGAACCCTTAAACCCCCCTAAAGCCTCCGAAAACCCCCTAAAACCCCCCGCAAGAAACCCTAAACCCCCCTAAAACCCTCTTACTTAAAAAGCCCACAGAGATTTGCAGCCACGAGCACACGGAGAGCGACTCGAGATCGGCAGCCGCGGCTGTCAAGACCTGGACAACTCTGAGCCCATGCCTCCTCTGGGCGCTTTCTCTTTTCTTAGGCTTTAGGCTTTAGGCTTCAGGCTTCAGGCTTCAGGCTTCAGGCTTCAGGCTTCAGGCTTTAGGCTTTAGGCTTTAGGGTTTAGGGTTTAGGGTTTAGGGTTTAGGGTTTAGGGTTTAGGGTTTAGGGTTTAGGGTTTAGGGTTTGGGGTTTGGGGTTTGGGGTTTGGGGTTTAGGGTCCAGACTGGATCCTAGCCAGTCTCTAGCAGTGGAGTACAGGAATCATCCCGCCGAGAGTTCGTGTTTCAGGTGCTGAAAGGGGTGCAAGGAGGGACACCCAGAATGGACCCTTCATCCGAATCCCCTATAGAACCCATAAAAAAACCCCGAAATAGACCTTATATCGCCCCTATGTATACCGAAGCAGCCCCGAAATAACCCCTAAATACCCCATAAGGTCCCGATTATAAGAGTCCCGCCTTTAGTCCCTTGAGGTTCTTGTTGGGGGAGCAACAAGACACCCTAAACCCTAAACCCTTTTTGCAACTGGCTTGCAAAGTCACGCCAGGAACCCACCCCTGATGTCGCTCAAGTTGCTGCACTGGTGACAGAACCGAGAGAAGCCAGGAGCAGTAGCTCAGAAGGTTGGCCGCATACGCGCGCGCTGTACTCATGACAGTGCATGCAAACGCTGGGCAACTTCTTCAGAAATCTGGGAATAGAGCGTGAGGAATTGGAATTGGCGAAATATGTTCTCATGAATACGTTCTAATTGTGGAAAATGCGCCTGAAGATCGTTCTGTGTCATATGTAGATGCAGCACCAGCCCTCCGAACTCCAATTGCAACCAAGAAACCCAGAGATGAAACCCTAAACCCTAAACCCTAAACCCTAAACCCTAAACCCTAAACCCTAAACCCTAAACCCTAAACCCCAACCCTAAACCCTAAACCCTAAACCCTAAACTAAACCCTAAACATTGCTCAATGCCCACAAGTGTGCAAGTTAGGAGGCAAGTAAGATCCCATCTGAGAACCTGAGCTGGAAACCTCACACCCAAACAAGTTCCCGAGTCCTGTCGAGGTCTGCCACCTCCCGCCCTAAACCCTAAACCCTAAACCCTAAACCCTAAACCCTAAACCCTAAACCCTAAACCCTAAACCCTAAACCCTAAACCCTAAACCCTAAACCCTAAAACCCGAAGCCCTCAACCCTGAAGCTGCCCCCACGAACTGCCGGAAGCTGAGCCGGGAGCCTTGTATGCTGAGAGACCTTGGGAGGGGCGAAGAGAGTCTAAGGCCCCGGAACGCTTGAGGACTTAAGAGTCCTACTACTACTACTACTACTACTACTACTACTACTACTACTACTACTACTACTACTACTACTACTACTACTTGCTTGAGAACCCCCCCCCCCCCAGAACAAGACCATTATCCCTATACTATGTATACTACCCTTATAGGGAAGAATGAGTTTTTATACTTGTATTATCATTTTAAACAAATTTTGTGGGTTTCTTAAACAAATAGTAGCCTGTTGGCTTCCTGTTTGGGCTTTTTGGGGGAGGTTTTTCGGTTTGCCCACTATTCCGGCTCACTAAGCGCAGGCCTTCAAACTCACCATTTGCGAGGCCTCACCCAAAACACCAAAACCAGGTTTGAGGAGAGGACTTTGGGTGGGGGGGGGAGGGGCGAAGCTGTTATTCTGAACCTGCAGGCGTCGGCTGTAGTGAGAGTCCAATACCTCCAAGTCGGAAGAAACCCAGATCCCTGTTTAAATTTCAGGGTTCTTCGGTAATGGCACGGGTGCTGAAGTCTTTGCCGTGTTGCTGAACGTGCGACTCCAAATTCCAAAGACCCCCGAAAATTCCTTGGGGTTGATCTTGATTCGCACTCTAGACCACAGGGAATGTGCCTGCATAGAGACGCAACAAAAAGCCCCCAAATTCAGCCCTCCAGTCCTCCCTGCTGTCTCAAACCCGCGCCAGCGCTGTTGTGCCCCTTAAACCCTAAACCCTAAAACCTAAGCCCCCAACCCCCCCCCCCCCCCCCCCCGCCCCAAGGTATTCCTTGCCGCTTGCCGGGACGAGGGGCACTCCGATGGCTCATCCTGTAGGTCCTCCGGGACGAGTTCGTAGGTCGGCGCCTGATAGGGTTTTGGGTTTAGGGTTTAGAGTTTAGGGTTTAGGGTTTGGGGTTTGGGGTTCAGGGTAAGTTAGGGGGTCCTTGTTTTCTGGGGTGTCTTGTTACGAAGGCGACCCAAGAAGGTACCCCAATTTCGGGATCCCTTAACCTGCGGCTAAGGGTTTAGGGTTTAGGGTTTAGGGTTTAGGGTTTAGGGTTTAGGGTTTAGGGTTTAGGGACACTTTGATCTTTTCAAGCTGGACTTGCGGGCTGCCGGGAAACGTGAGTTTGAAGCACAGCCCTCGAGATTCTCTAGGGGGACGTCCACAGCAAACCCTAAACCCTAAACCCTAAACCCTGAACCCTGAACCCTAAACCCTAAACCCTAAACCCTGAACCCTGAACCTAAACCCTAAACCCTAAACCCTAAACCCTAAACCCTAAACCCTAAACCCTAAACCCTAAACCCTAAACCCTAAACCCTAAACCCTGAACCCTGAACCCTGAACCCTAAAAACCCTAGAGCAGCCCTTGGGAGAGAACCGGCCAACAGCCCGAGCATGCGCGCGGCGCGCACCTGGGTCATCTGGGACTCCTCGAGAGCCACGGGCGGCGCCTGGCTTCCCGGAGACTCCACGAGCGTTGGGGTTTAGGGTTTAGGGTTTAGAGGGTTTAGGGTTTAGGATTTGGGGTTTCGGGTCTAGGGTTAGGAATTGAGGAAGTCTGCTTTTAAATCATATCAAAATCCGAATCATATCAAAATCCCTGTCGTGAAGCAAGGAATGCTCGTACGAGCCATGGCGCTCCGATCCCTGTACCATTCTTGAGGCAGCTTTCGTAGCTCAGCTGATGTAAATCGGGGTGTCTGGCTATTTATGCCAGATTTCCTGAAGCCACAGCGGAAAACGGAAAACCAGGAGAACGGCGAGGATCGACAGTTCTCTGGGCCAAGAATCTAGCCAGTTGGGGAGCCCAAACGTGCTTTCCGGATAGGTGATTCTAAATTCTTAGATTTGGGGAGCAAAAACTTGGGACCCACCATCATCTTGGAACTCCCAAGCAGTTTCAGGCCTCCGGTGACGGCATGTCAGGTGGGTCCCACCTCACAGATCGCTGGTACGAGTAGCTTCAAGAGCTGGTGCAGCCCTCACGCACATCAGTAGAATTGCCAGGAACTCAGTTAATTTGCAGCCAGGCGGCTGAACGGTGTCTGTGGGCTCGTGCCAGAAGTAATGGGCCCTTTGCTCTCACAATGCACGAGAGGGTTCAGGGCTTGGAGGTTGTTCAGGGTATCCAGGGGCTAGGGTCTAAAGTCTAAAGTCTAGGGGCAGAGGATTTAGGGTTTGCGGAAGGGGTCTGTCTGGCGCTACAGGAATCGGGGTGTCTAAGGTTATCTGGAGCAGTTGGGCCTGGGGCATGCTCGAAGCTTCGCAGCTCAGATGAGGATCTATGCTTGCAAGTCAACACGGGCGTAGGGCCTCGCCACCTGAAGAGCAACCCCCTCTCTGCCTCCTCCTACGCCTTGCCCCCTTTTCATGCTTGAACGCAAAACGATGATCCCCCTCCCGCCGCCTGGCAGAAGATAGGGGGCTTGGGCGGCTTTTAACCTTTTTGCGGTTCCCGCCAAAAAAACCCGGGCTCCAGGCTCGTACTCGTCTGACCAGACGGCCTCCACCAGGCTTCAATGGCTTTGGTCTTCAGTTCTTTCAACACCCAAAACCCAGAAACCCTAAAGACTTAGGGATGTTTAGAGTGGGGTATGTTTCGGTTTGAGCAGGAACCCGAAATCCAGAGCTGTAGACGAGGGAGGATCCAGACCTAGGGAGCAGATCAGTTCCCCCTTGAGGACTCCGAGCTGGCTTTATGGGGTTGGAGGGTTTCGTCGGACTCGGAAAACTCAGAGCCTCGCCGCTTTTTGGAGACATCCCTCTGAGAAGTTCCGATGACCAAAGTCTCGCAACCGTTCCACCCTCAACCCTGAACCCTAAACCCTAAAACGCTCCGTTTGGTGTGTTCGGGGCCAGGGAGGCTACAGCAGGGGCAGTAAGCTGCCACCATACCCGGGGCGTTCAGTGAAAGCGCGGCGTTCAGCAAAAGACATCATCTCAAAGGCTTTATAACACTATGTTCCGGAATATTACCGGGTTTAGGGTTTTGGAAGTTTAGGGTTCAGGGTGCAGGGCATTCCTGAAGATGCTCCTCCTAAACCCAATAAAGGGGTAATTATAAAAACGCCCCCAGGGCCTACCGAGGAACCCAGTGCCCCCCTATCCCAAGCAGCTGCCTCCCACCCTGGAGGGAGGTCCACAGCCGAGGGCGACAGGAGGTCGTGGAGAGAGGGCTGCGTCTGGTCGGGGTGGCTCTTTGCGCGTTTTTGGAATTCAGGGGTTTTTAGGTATGCCCGGTATGCTTTCGTTTTAGGGTTGTGACTTGGTTGGGGGAAGGTTTTTGGCTTAGCTCTTGTGACTCGGAGGTCTGGACTCCCTCATGGGCAAGGAAGAGTTGCGAGAGGAAAGTACTTATTAACTCTTGAGCGCGGGCTCTGATCGTTGTTGGTTGCAGTTTCGGTGACGCAGAACGTGCGATGCGTTGGGCTGCTCGGACTGAAGATCTTTCCGCACTCGTTCGGTATCCTTAAGCAGATGGTGCGTGTGTACGACGGGTTGGTTGTAGCTAGTCAGCAAAAGCTTCTTTGCTTGGTGCGGCTGGAGTTTTCGAGTAACACGGGAATTGACGAAACGGAGCAAGAGTGACTTGTCTCTGCGATTCTGAAGCCCCAGCTGCCTCTGGAAGCCCGACAAGTCCGAACGAACCTTGCTCCAGTATTCTTACTCTTGGTTTAGTAGGGATTTTGGGCCCTAGATATAATCTCTTAAACATGGTAATATAGGGACCAACAGTAAGTCTTTCGTGGCTGACAACGGCGCTGCCGTTGCTGTCCTGCAGCTGTCGTTGCTGCATGGCATCCATTGCCTCCTGCCGGCGTGTGGCCGACAAGTTGGGGGGGGTCTACATTAAGGGGCTTCAGGGTCCAGGGCTGAGGGCTTTTCGCGCTTTTTTTCAGTTTAGGCTAGAGGGTTTTAGGGTTTATCGGGGTTTAGGAGCTTGGAGTCTAAGGGGCTTCATTTGGGTTGTCAAGGGCCCTGGGATGTTGGGGTTGTTTTTGGGTGGGGAAGATCGATTTGAGGCTCCTGGGTGTTCAATGGAAGAATATGAGCTTCATGGAAAAGGCAGTGGTAAGGGAAAGCATCGCCACCATGACTGTGGGAGCTGATTGCTTGATGTCCACACCGCTCTTTCGCGGATCTCGACCCAAGGCATCAGCACTAGAACGCTGGAACCGCCTGAGGAGACCCCTCTTGCAGAGCCACGGTTTAGGGTTTAGGGTTTAGGGTTTAGGGTTTAGGGTTTAGGGTTTCGGGCAAGCCCTGATACCCACAACGATGCTGGATTCCTATGCAGCACCCAGTCACTTGAAGCGCTTCAAAATTTCAGAACTCACAGCAAGGCTCGATGCGACGAGTCTTTGTCTTTTGCGTTGCAAATTCCTTGTTTAGGGTTTAGGGTTTAGGGTTGAATTCTGCCCTTAACCTCAGTACAAGGGTTTCCGGGGACTCTGGGCCGACAGATGATGATCAACAACTTCGAGAAGCACAGCTTGAGGACACAGCGGGCTCCCGCGACTGCCCGCCTTGAGAGATACCAGCTCGGCTGCTGATGGCGCCTCTTGGAGTTTCATCATGAAACAAAGTACCGAGTCATCTGCTCTAGCAAAGGCCTATCATGACCTGTCGTCTTCTGCACTGGAGCACACCCCTTAGGGTGCATAACCTCTCCATTGCATGTCAGCCCCAAGCCATACTTCCCCTCCTTCTAGTTCTTTGGGCATTTCCCAAAATAGGGTACCCCTGTTTTATACCCCAAATGGAATAGAATCCTACGTGACCCCCAAGAAGGGTACCCAAACTTTCGGCAACCCCCATTGATAGTAGAAGCCTCGCAAGCCCCAGCATGACGGCCTCCTCCGAAGCACCGGGAGCTTCCTCCTCTCTCGCGCCCGCCTTCGGCAAATCGGCTTCAGGCTGAAGGGGTTGGCCTTTGGAGTTTCCGTGTTGTAAGAACAAAACATGCAGAATAAGGAACAAACTTCAGCCTGATAAGAACAGAACATGCAAGATTAGGGGGGGAAGCCATACGTCAAGAAAGACGAGAGATACTTGGGGTCGGTTTTTCGCGGCTTGCCGCACGCCCATGCAGGGAAGGGCACCAAGCAAGCAGCAGTTCTGTGGCCGAGGGGTTTAGGGTTTAGGGTTTAGGGTTCAGGGTCTTGTGTGGGGCAGTTTCATTTTCATGGCACCATGACATCGGCCGAAAACCACGCGGAAGGAATCAGAACGACCTGGGACCCTCATTACCTACAGTTTCCTGGGTTAGACCCACTTCAGTAATTATTAAGGGTAGTTACGACGAAGCTGTAGGCAAGAGGGCACCAGCAGTGAGGCTCTGCCGACGCGCCTCCTCTGTGGGCTCCGCAGGAGACTCCTCAAGCTCGGCCGCCGGCGACTCCGCAGGTGCCTGTGCTGCGTTTATGGGGGGTTCTTAAGGGAGGGGGGGGTTCTTAAGGGGGGGTATGTAACTACTACTCCCTAAGGCTCCCGAAGCTTCCCTATAAGGTTCCCTAGGTACCAGAGCCCCACCCTCTGCTGCCTGCACCAGTTCCACGGCCTGGCCGGCCGCGGCCTGCGCGAGAGAGTTTAGAAGCTGTTCTGACCCTGGACTACCTGGGACTCTACTTACCGGCAGTTTAGGAAACTGTAGGTAAAGAGGGTCCCAGGTTAAAAACAAACCAAAACTCTGAGACGCGTGCACGCGAAGGTGCACTGCAGTGTAAGCGGAGGACGCGAACGTCACGAGAGGATCTTGCAGGAAGGTTCAGGATCGCCAAACTGCTTGTGCTCCCAACAAGAAAGTCTCATCTAATCCGGAGAGGCCTCCTGAACCCTGCACCCCAAACGCGCTATCGGAGGCTGTGTCAAACTTCGGGTCCCCTATTGCAATGGCCCCCGTGTTTTTGGTAGGGAATGAGGGAATTAGGTCCTATTTTTACCCTCTAAGGGAATATAGGGTACCTCATCCCCTTCTTCCCAACAAAGAACCAGCTAAGAATATTCCCGTATGGCCCTGTGGCCCCTCTAGAATTATACCACCCCCCACCCCCCCCCCCCCCCCAAAAAAAAAAAAAAAAAAAAGAATAATAATAATAATGATAATAATTAAGGCCCCCACAGATATTATTACAATTGGGCCGAAAAAAAGTTGGCCCGATTGAGAGGCCCGTGCCTCAGCAGCCTCATGCGCCGCGGAGGGCTCTTCTGGCGCAGCCTGCCCTGGGCCATCCAAAGATGCCTGGGTTGGGTTTAGGGTTAAGGGTTAAGGGTTAAGGGTTAAGGGTTAAGGGTTAAGGGTTAAGGGTTAAGGGTTAAGGGTTAAGGGTTAAGGGTTAAGGGTTAAGGGTTTAGGGTTTAAATGCAGGGTTTCAGGTTTCAGGGTTTAGGGGACAGAGGAGTTCGTTCCAGTTCGCTCACCGGGATCTTGCACACCGATCCCACAGCGACGCTTGCACCAATCTAAGGAGTGACCGGTGACAAGGCACATGGGAGTTTATGAACATAAGCGACTCCTAGTAGCAGGATTCCCTTATAATTAATAAGGGCCCCAATAAGGTACCCTCAGGATGCGGAGTTTTGGGGCTGGAGTGTAGCTGCTGGAAGTCGCTTTGGATGATTGACCTTCCCAGGAGTAGGGCTTCGTGTTTGAACGCCGTATGGCGGCATTCTCTCAATTCTATAGCCCCTTTGTGGGTTTCCTGAACACCAGGCTTTCTTATAGAATAGGAACACCAAAAGGGGGGGACCCTAATCTAGCAGCCCTCTTTCTAAAACCTGCAGGGACCAGGCTTCCCTTGAAGGGAGGGGAGTTTGTTTTGTTTGATTTCCTTTGCCGCCTGAGCTGCCCAGGGGTCTGCACCTTGTGCTGCAGGAGCATCGGCGGCTGCCTCCTTTTTGCATGGAGGAAGGCGCGGGTGGGGGGGGGGAGGGAGGGGTGGGGGAGGGGTGGAGGGCAATGAGCGCAACCACGACAGCAAAGGGTCAGCCCACATACTCTTGTTGCCCCTTGTTGCCCTCAAAATCCTTTAACCTCATAAGCCCTATATGCTTTGAAACCCCCTGGAACCGTCGTCTGCTCTGATCAAATTGCCCGACAAGAAAGGAGCTGATGATGCCTCGCTAGGTGGAAGCTGCTCGCCCTGCCGCGGGACGCCGTCCCCCTGGGCAGTTTTAAGGGAGCTTGGGCTCAAGAGAGCTCCGGTTGAGAGATGTGTGGGGATTCTTGTGGAGGGAGTTATATGGTTCAGCCCAGCTGCACGTGCACGTGTGATCCTTTGGTGCCTTCTTGATTTGATCCGGGAAAGACAGGAGCACCGGAAAATCTCAAACCGCCCAGGAGTGCTGAGGTTGGGCTTCTGCTCCACAGCCGTTGATTGCCCAACTTCCTATTTCCCACTCCGTCCTCTCCATGTAGCGGGAGTCGGATTGGTAGACCCGACATCCGAAACCCCCTTCATAGCCTACGGGCGAAACCAGAATGCCGCCTCCCTCCCCACCTCCGCAGGAGCCGTTGCTTCTGGCACCGTGGCATCAGCTGCTGGTGGCACCTGCCGCGCGCATGGTCGGTGCTTGGACTGACTTTGTTCTCACCCCCCCACCCCCCTCGCCCCCCCCCCCCCCCCCCCCCCCCCCCCCCAAAAAAAAAAAAAGAGAGGCGACACAGATCCCTTCTGAGACCAGAGGAGGCGCCTCGGCCGCGGCTGTCGCTGTGGCCGCTGTGGCCGCCGTGACCGCCGTGACCTCCGTGGCCGCTGCGGCCTCTGTGGCGGCTGCGGCCTCTGTGGCCGCTGCGGTTTCTGTGGCCGCTGCGGCCGCTGCGCCCTGCCCTGGCTCTCCAGCATCCTCAACGTGCAGCAGGCAGAACAAGAGACGCAAAAACAAGGGAGTTCAGGATCACTCCGTACGTGGCTGTAGCTACAGAGTCTGGACTTGCAACTGACGATCTGTTCTGAAGGTCATGGCCCAAATTGGTGGATCTCTGACTCGCCTCGGTCTTGGCCACCTCCCCTGCAGCCTCGGCGAAGTTCGCCAAGGCCTCTCGCCAGAGCTGAGATCTCTTCTCAGACACCCCTTTGATGTACGACATATGGGTGTTTCCGAAAATAGGGGTACCCTAATTTGGGGGTTCATTTAGTAGGATTATTGGTGTTTTGGGTAAAAATAGGGGTACCCCTAGTTTCGGAAATCCCCATGTGCTGGCGAAAGTCAAAACAGCAACGATGACAATGACGATTCTATGGGGTCTGATGCAATGAGTTATAGATGCTACCAACTAAAACGAACAAAATGCTCTAGACGTGCGATTTTCCCTGGCAGGGGGATCCTTTTCAGAAAGCCAATCTAACTGGCTCGCCCGAGCGAGGAGCGGGCGCAACCTGCTCATTTGGGTTCTCATGCCTGAAGCAACCGGAGTCCCAGGTCCCCCCATGCCCCAGTCCGAATACAGGGAGAGCTTAGATTTGAGTGCTCTTTTTTTGAGTTCATAAGGTACGTCTGAACTATTTTCACACATTCCCATTGATTTTAGGACAAAAGGTTCGAGTACCAGGGCCACTTGCCGAGAATATGCCTCGTTCACTTTGCCGATGCTCTCCTCCTGAGGCCGAGGAGGCTGGCAGGTTTAGATCCCCGGAACGGTGCTAGAGTTCCACTCTATATGGGGGTTTACGAAAATAGGGAACCCCCCAAAATAGACCCAATAGCAGGATTTCCTCATAACAAGGACCCCAATAAGGTACCCCAACCTCGGAAACCACCTTACGCCGTCCGGCAGCCTTTTGTCTAAAAAGAAGATGAGCCCACCTCTTCTATCCCGCAATCGCCAGGGGCTCAAACTTTCCTTACTGGCCCGCAGGGAGTTTCAGCCCCCCTCAAACCTCCAAGGAACTTCCTCAAGGGCTGCGGCTTGATGATCCCAAGCCGAAACTTCTCGACCCCCCCCCACCCCCCCACCCCCCAAGAAATGCCCAAACTAGGCTCAGGGTTTAGGGTTCAGGGTTCAGGGTTCAGGGTTCAGGGTTTAGGGTTTAGGGCTCAGATGTATAGGGATGTGGGGGATTTATCCTGAAAGCTTCCCTGAAAGGTACCGCAGATACCCTGACCCCGATCCCAAGAAGCAGGGTTTAGGGTTCAGGGTTTAGCGCACTTTGCAGGACTTAGCGCCTCGAGGCTCGCAACCTTAACTAGATCCCAGAGAGAAGCTAGGAATCAAAAAGGGTGCCCTTTTTGGTTTAAAGGGGGCTTTCAAGAAAAACCCAAACCCCCAAAAAAGGGAATCAGGGCCTACTCTGGGTCCTAGTGAACAAAAATCACGACCAGAAGACCACAAAACGCAGTTGCAGGTTCATGGATAATTCTAACTAGGGTTCTCATCAAATCTAAACTCTGAACCACAAACCCTAAACAATGTAGTTGCAAATGCAGAATGTCGAAAGCCGAAGCCCCAATCTCATATGGGAGTTGTTCTTTGCATTCTGTTGGCCCCCCCCCCCCCCCCCCCCGTTTTCTGGTGCACTTCTTGATCAGGAATCGTTTCCTCTATGAGCCCACCCTAAACCCTAAACCCCTAAAACCCTAAAACCCTAAAACCCTAAAACCCTAAAACCCTAAAACCCTAAACCCTAAACCCTAAACCCTAAACCCTACCCCCTTCCCCTGTATGCCCCCGAGGCTTGGGGGCCTCCTCGCGCCGCGCCGCCTCCTCCGCAAGACGCTGCCGCTCCGCCTCTGCGGCGGCCTCCTGGGCCTCCTTGCAACTTCCGGCGCTGGGCTCCCAAACCCTAAACCCTAAACCCCAAACCTTAAACCCTCTACCCTCTAAACCCTAAACCCTAAACCACAAAAACCCTAAAACCTTAAACTAAACCACAAAAATCCTAAACGTTGGACTTCTAGGGTTTCGGGTTTGGGATGCGCTTGAATCGTGTTCAAGTAGGGTCTTCGAAACTCTTGACGGTGACGCTTTAGGCTTTGGAAAAGCCTGTCCTGAAAACACCTCTCCTCCAAACCGTCTGGGTTCTAACAGATGGACATCCCCAGAATGAGTTGCGGGTGGACCCTCTGCATTCATCGACAGAAAGAAGCAAGTCTAAAAAGTATACGTATGCATCTGGATACACATGAATGAACGCGAATTGATCCCTTAAAGATCCTGAGCCCGCCGGGGGGCCCTCCCTCCCATCCCCCTTCGCAGACCTCCTCTGCACGCACCTGGTGTGAGGGGCCGGGGTCCGCAGGGACTGTCCGTGCTCAGGATTTCGAGCAGTTGGGCGTTTTTGGACGTTAGGCTGGAAGGCTCTTGGGACCTGGGACGCCTTTCTTCGTGCTTAAGGCTGGCGAGTTCAGACCCTTGTGAGAATGGACTGGCTTTTCAAAATACAGCCGAGGTCGAAGCTGGCCTGTGGCCTGCCCCTGTCTCCTGCCCTGAGCTTGATCTTCATATCTGCCAGCAGAACTGGATCGCAACCCCTGACCGACCTCGAGACCGCAGCCTGTAGAAATTAGCAATCACCCCCCAAGTCAGTACCCGACGCCTTTTGAAGGAACCCGGGACTTCAGAGGGAGGATCTGCTTCTGGGGGCAAGCTTGCCGGCGAAAGAAAGAGAACATGCGGCGGAGTCCCAGCGAGCTTGAGATGCCTTCATGAAGGGTGCAATACCCTAAACGTGGGATGTTCACCCTTACACTAACAGTCCTGAATAGGGATTATGGTACCCCTACGATGAAATCCCTACTAAGGACTCTTCGTATACGGGGAAACTTCTCAAGTACGTAATACCCTAAACTATACAGGAGCTGGTCTTCTGACAAATTCTGGCTAAGGAGATTGCCCTGCATGAGCGGGTATTGGGTTCCTGTGCCACAAGCCGCAAGACCCCAAACCCTAAACCCTAAACCCTAAACCCTAAACCCTAAACCCTAAACCCTAGAAGCTTTCAGGGCCCCGGGCAGCGTCTTCTACGCGTCGGGACTCCTCCTCGGCCTTCTCCATGTCCGTGGCCTAGGGCTCAGGTTTTAGGGTTTATAGGGTTTATAGGGTTTTTAGGGTTTGTAGGGTTTATACGGTTTGTAGGGTTTATAGGGTTTATAGGGTTCATGGGGTTTGTAGGGTTTATAGGGTTTACAGGGTTTATAGGGTTTAGGGTTTGACGGTTCAGGGTTGTTCGTTAGGCCTTCGGAGCTTTTCAGCTGCTTCCGGGCCGAGTTCCCATGTGCTCATAGGCGGGAGCTGCACACAATATTGCTGTTGAAAGGGTAACGGAGCAACCGCCCCAGCTAACAAGTAGCAACTCGTGCCTCCCCCCTAAACCCTAAACCCTAAAGAAGCAACAATCGGCCTCCCGCTGCTCCCTGGTCGCATCCTCCGCGGCGGTCTCCGCTGCGGCAGCAGCTGCTTGCCTGGCCTGGTGGCGCAAAGATCCCAAGACCCCGGAAATGAAGGAATATCCCTTCCCCCTGATAATAAACCGAAACCCTAATTTTAGAAGTACGGGTTAGGATTTGGGCAGTAGTGTGAAGCTAGCCCTCCCCCCAAACTAGCTATACTCTTACCTCCCTGCTAGAGACACGCAAAGCTGACATGAACGGTTTTTTCGGACCGTGGCGGCGCGCAATTCTCGGGCCGCTTGACTGGATTGGACGCTACAGGCAGTTCAAGCAACCTTGAAACAACGACATGGCCTGACTCTGAATATGGGATTTGGGGGGGGGAAGTCTTGCAATACCGAGCTGCTACTCACTTTACCTGTAGCAGCCAATGGCGCCACTAGGATTGTGATCTGACTTGGCACAAACACAAGGGTGTGCGCGAGGCGTTGATCAAAGAGACTCAGCTACTACAGCCGTGCGGTGTCTGGCAAAAGCATCAGCACTTGCTTGACACGCACAGGCGTAGGTAACAACTGAGTCTTGGAGTAAAACAAATTTGCACAAACATAATTTTCTAACGACAAGATGCAGTTTGCTGACTATCGTTTCTTTGCTGGGGTCGTCCTAGATGTCTTAAACACAAAACATCCGCCATTTCAACAAGTATAGTTCCAAAATGCAAGATGTGAGGACCTGCACGGCATGTTGCACACAAGGTCCCTTCAGTGCCACAAAATCAATCAGTCAGGTGCCCTTCGGTGTCCGGAAGGCTCATCACGGCATTTTCGGTGTCCGCAGCGCTCATGGCATCTTCAGCTTCAGCTTGTGAAGCACTTGACCTCCGGTTGCCGCGGCGCACTGGGGCTTTGTCGCGGGAACCTTTCATCAGGATGGCGGATGGGCGCAGGAAGGCGGCAACGGGCAAGTCTGGCTTGAAGCTGAGTTTCAGCACCATGCTGGGCTCATTCTTCCACTCCACCGATGTGAGGGTGGTGCGCGTGCAATCTGCCAGAATGACCTGGACAACCAAAGAGGTCCACAAGAGGAGAATGATTTCTGCGCGTGGACAGCAAGGAAACAACAACAAAACTGCTAAGAAAAATCTTGGGCTTGGCGACGCCACCGTGCTGCTGCAAGTCTTTGGCCGGGACTGTTGTGTTGCCAGTGGTTCCGGGAACGAGGATGCGATGATCCGGGCTCACCACGAGGGTTGCAAGACCAGCCCGCAGCTCAATCACCGCAGGGACCCGGTGTTGCTCCGGTGGATGAAGGACTTCGACCACTTTCCCATTGGCTGCGATCACTTGCGCTCCTTGAAACAAAGACTTGGCTGGAACGAAGATCGTCCCAAACTCTCTGCTGATTACTTCGAAGAAGGTTTCCGGATGCACACAGCAGGAGCGCTCAAACGTGAGAGCTGAGTCCACTTCCTCAGGACACTCGGCAAGCAAGGTATTCAAGTCACTGATCGCCCTCCCGATGCCTTTCTCCAAATGTCTCGCTCTGTTACTCTGAGGTTCGTCAAGGGAAAGGCATCGACGCTTGCGAGACAAGTCCGCAAAATTTGGATCCAGCTGAGTGGCCTTGCTGTAGTCCTGAGCTGCCCTCTCATGCCAGCCAATTTTCCCTGCACAAACGCCACGGAAGAACCATGTCCAAGGATTGCCTGGCTCCAGCCCGATGGCATTTTCAAAGTCCCCCATGGCTGCTTCGTACTTCCCCAAGGTGTGCTGGGCATGGCCTCGACAGGCGAAAACAGCGGCATACTTGGGGTCCAGCTCGATGGCCTTGTCGTAGTCGGCGATGGCTGCTTCATAGTTGCCCAAGCTGCGCTTGGCATCGCCCCGTCTGTGAAAAGCATTGGCATACTTGGGCCTCAGCTCGATGGCCTTGTCGTAGTCGGCGACGGCTGCTTCATACTTGCCCAGGTTGTACTTGGCATCGCCCCGACAGGCGAAAACAGCGGCATACGTGGGGTCCAGCTCGATGGCCTTGTCACAGTCGGCGATAGCTGCTTCATCGTTGACCAAGACGAAATTGACGAGGCCCCGGCATCCAAAAGCAAAGGCATCCTTGGGGTCCAGCTCGATGGCCCTGTCGTAGTCGGCGATGGCTGCTTCATAGTTGCCCAAGTAGTATTTGGCATTTCCCCGGCGGCAAAAAACATCGCATTGCTTGGGGTCCAGCTCGATGGCCTTGTCGTAGTCGGCGACGGCTGCTTCATACTTGCCAAGGTTGTAGTTGTCACTGCCGGCGATCCTGCGAACCATGGCGGAGGACTCCCGAAGCACGATTTGGGCTCGGACGCAAAGGAGCACAGCTGCCGCAGCCAAAGTCGCGATCTTGTCACCGCATGTCGCGCAACCCTGCCTGCAAACAAAATTGGGGTCATATACCCTAGACTATACTACTATAATTCCTAGTAAGGAATCTGTGCCATAAACCCTTTTAGGGTTCATTTGGTCCTAAGGTTGGGGACTTAGGGCTTAGCTTTGGATTTGATCCGTGAAGCTGGTGGTGGCTACTTAGGTCGATGATGCCTGCTCTGCTTTGCGTCTGTACTGATGTTAACGACAGACCGCATGGTATGGGATTTCCCTCGGCAGCAATAGGTGAAGAGCTGTGCCTGTAATGACCAACCAAGGCATCTCCAACCCAATTCTTATTATCATCATTACTATTATGATTATTATTTTTTGTTTATCATTATTATGGTTATTGCTCTTATCATGATTTCTATTACTATTATTATTTTAGTATTATTATTATTGTTCTTGTCATCATTAATATTAACATTATTGTTGTCTTCATTTTTATTCTGGACCCTTGAAGCTGCGTTAGAGTTCGGCGTGCCTCCAGCTTGGCATACTCCTCCGGGCCCATGTACATCCGGATGCAGCTGTCAATCTGCACAGCTGCTTGATGCTGTTGAGGGGGCAGGGGGCTTCAGGAAGACTGCCACCCTAAACCCCAAACCCTAAACTCTAAACCCTAAACCCTAAACCCTAAACCTGCCAAATGCCTACTCCAGAATCCCGGCGACCAGACTTCCCCTGAATGCCTTGACCATGACCCTACAGAAGCCTAAACCCCTTGTTTTGCAAAGTTTCTTTTTGCCACCCGCCTAGCTGACCTTTCGGACACTCTGCAGGGAAGCGTCGGTGCCAAATCCCAATAATTTGATGCAAAGTTTGAAACTTAGGGTTTAGGGCTGAGAGCCTACGCCTTCAACTCAAAAAACCCTAAGCCCTACCAAACTAAGGCTTCTAATTATTGAGGCCCCCTATCCCAACCCTAAACCCTAGAAACCTAAACCGCCTAGCCCGGCAGGGCCCTCTTGCGCCTCGGCCTGCATCTCATGGAGGCGCTCCAGCAGGCTCCTCGACAGGCTGCCAACAAGGTTCCCCAATGACAAGCCACGGTTGAGCGTTTAGGGTTTAGGCTTTCGCCCGGTAACCATACTCTCACATTATAGTGAGGGTACCCTTTCTTGGGCTGGTTCCTTCACAAGGGAACCTTGAACCAAAAAGGGTAGAGGACACCACTGGGCTACCAGGGTTTAGGGGAATGGGGTTTAGGACTTCTTCCCTTGCCATGGCAAGTGCCAACGTCTAAAGCCCAGCCATAGGCCCAGCATGGGACCATAGTCCAGGTGTCAGTGCCCCAACTGCCCTTCCTCCGCCTCGCTTGGCTATGAGCGAGCATACGCCGCTTCAGCTTCACGTCGCCCGAAATGCCGGTCTTAGTCTTGCAGGACCTTCTCAGACAAGGACGCAGCTTTTTCGTCACCGCGATCGGCCCAAGCAAACCTGCGAAGTCCTGGGAAGGTCGGCGCAGCGAAAAGCAACCTGCCCTATCCTTGCCGACAATAGACTGGATCTGGGAATAACAACCTAGGTAGAAAAAGGGTACCCTTTTTGGTTTCAAGGGGATTGATTATGAGGGAACCCCGACCCTAAACAAAGGACAAAAAGGCCTACTCGCGGTCCTAGAAAAACGTAGCTGCGTACCCCGGTGGCAGCCCCAGTAAAACATGCAGAGGGTAGAGAACTTTGAGTCCACGCCACCCAACAGATCTCCAACAGCGCCACCAGCCCTGACCCCCCCTAAACCCTTTTTGCCACTGGACTGAGGGTCTAGCCCCCCCTAAACCCTAAACCCTAAACCCTAATAATCCTGCACCCTGAAGGCAACCTCTCAGGAGACCGAGGGCAAAGGCATCTGTTGCCCAAGGCCGTGGCTGGTTTCGGCCGTACGTGCGGAAATGGCGGTATGCGTCGAACCTGAGAAGGGGGGGAGGTTTAGGGTTTAGGGTTTAAAGGGGGGGAGGGCTGGGTGGGTGGGAAGTTCCGACATAGTTAAATTAGGGGGAGGGTTGGGAAGTTCAACGCATAATTCGTACCCAGTGGGCATCAAGGATTTCCAGTCTCTCCATGGCGCTTCGTGGTTACTAAAGATCACATTGAAGACCAGCTCGTGAGATAAATCCTGGCTCGGTAGCTCACAGGACCTTCCAGGCAGGAAGCTACATGGCATCGTTCTTTCATTGCGAGCTCGCTTTCTGCCAGGTTCTGCCCTTAGCACCTTAAGAGCCCTTGCTCCTGCAAGCAGGGGCTTCTCGTCTTGAAGACCAGGGAATCGCAGACCTCCTGGTGAGTCCCTCCTGAGGGCGGCGCCCAGGATTCGGGAAGAACTTGACATTCACTTGCACGCAGTCTCGTCCTGCAGTAGTAAGGGAGGAGGTGGGGGTGGGGCGGTTCTGTCGCTAGACCATCATTGAAAAAAACAAGCAAGGGCCCTGAACATACTAAACCCTAAACCCTAAACACTAAACCCCAAAGCTCCCGGATAGTTGAGTGAACCCGAAGAGGGGTCTGGAGGGACTCCAAAGCTATTTCAAAGCATGAGAGCTTTTAGGGTTCACCAAACTTGCGACTTGGATGCGTTTGGGGTGCTTATCTGGGACGTGAGGTTTCAGGAGCCGTCAAAAAAGCCCTCCCCCCGCCTCCAAACCTGCGACCCTACCCCTAAATCCTGAACCCTGAACCCTAAACCCCAAACCCTAAATCCTAACCCTAACCCTAAACCCTAAACCCTAAACCCTAAACCCTAAACTCTAAACCCTAAACCCTAAACCCTAAACCCTAAACCCTAAACCCTAAACCCTAAACCCTAAACCCTAAACCCCAAACCCGAGCCCCGGCACACCCAGGTGAAGCGCTCAGGCTGCCGCCCATCCCGGTGTACTCGAACCATCCTTTCACGGGCCACACCTCTGGCTTGAGACAGTGCTGAGTCGGGGGTTTAGGGTTTAGGGTTTAGGGTTTAGGGTTTAGGGTTATTAAGATCCCCGAAATAGGGACCCATTACCCTTGTTCGAATCCAAAAGAACCCCTCACTGGCTAAAAGGTAGGAAGCCGGGAGTTAGGTACCTTATACGCTCCCTTCAATATACCCCTTGAAGAACTTGATCTTGGGGTCGACGCCAACCTGTGCCCACTCAGCAGGCGGTGAGACGCCCAGCACCCTTTAAGGGATGATATGGGGCACCCTAAACCCAAAACCCTACACCCTAAACCCTAAACCCTCCCTAAACCCTATAGATTTTCAGAGTTTCTACCTGTAAGCGAAAGGGGCCGGACACATTGTTGCTTCCGCTTGGGCCCGGCCCACCAAATCCTTCAATCCATCAGCAGCTTTGGTGAGTTCTTAACCCCTAAACCGTAAGCCCTAAAACCCAAAACCCTAAACCCATGAGCACCCTGACTGTCCCTGACTCCAGCAACTCTTCTCAAGGAGCTGTTCAACTTTAGGGATCCCTGGCAGAGGAGCCTTGTATAAGCCAGCACTTTGTAAGAGGCCCTCCCTGTCAAAATGGGGCCACAACTTAGAGCAGCCCTAAACCCTAAACCCTAAACCCTTAAACCTTACACCCTAAACCCTGAATCCGAAAACCCCCGAGCTCCCATAAGGTGCACAGAGCCCACGTCCGAAGCCCTGCAGCGGCTCAAATTCCAGACTTCTGTTTAGGGGACTGAGCTCCTAGACCCGGGAACAACCTAGGAATAACAAGGGTCCCCTTTTTGGTTTTAAGGGGATTATAAGGGAACCCCAACCCTAACAGAAGGAAAAAAGGGCCTACTCCCGGTCCTAGGCTCTGAGCTTAGACACATACATATAATACAAATACAAGCATAACTTTATAGATAAAGGGCGGGAGACAGAGAGAGAGAGAGAGAGAGAGAGAGAGAGAGAGAGAGACTCTCTCTCTCTCTCTCTCTCTCTCTCTCTCTCTCTCTCTCTCTCTCTCTCTCTCTCTCTTTCCATATATATATATATATACATATGTATGCACACACACATGGCGCACACACAGGCGTTGCTTTTAGGAGCACTGCGGCTCTCAGGTCCCCGCTGCTTCTTCGGCCAGGCGCGCGGCCTTCAGTTCTGGGGATCTTGTTAAGGACTAAGAGGGTTTAGGGTTTAGGGTTTAGGGTTTAGGGTTTAGGGTTACTGAAAGGCAAGAGGGGTTCTAGTGGGCATGCTAGATCATGCTGGAAGGTATATGAAGTTTGACATAAAAGAGTTGACGCCGAAGGAATCCAAGCAACTGAGTCGAGCAAGTGCCAACTGGCCCATACCAGGGGGGCTTGGGTGCTGCTTGCTTACTTTCCCTGCAGAAGAGTAGAGGATCACATCGTACCGGACGTGGCTTAGGACGTTGGAAGTGACTGCCCAGGCCCATTTCGCCAGGAAACAAGGAAATATAAAGTGCCCCCCAAACAAGACCTAGCCATTGAAGTACCTATAGTTGCCTCATTCCCTACTATAAGAACCAGCAAGTATCAGCAAGTATCAGCAAGTATCAGCAAGTATCAGCAAGTATCATGAGCTGCACAAAAAGTGGTTGCGGTCCCCCAAACCGTAAACCCTAAACCCTAAACCCTAAACCCTAAACCCTAAACCCTAAACCCTAAACCCTAAACCCTAAACCCTAAACCCTAAACCCTAAACCCTAAACCCTAAACCCTAAACCCTAAACCCTAAACCCCAACGCCGTTCCGGGACTCCCGCATGCTTCCTCGCCCAGATCCCACGCCAGCGGGATTGGATCTCAGTGGGCCCCGGGCTGATGGGATGCTACCCGAAACGTGTTGTACGGTCGGTAAGGAAGGGTTTAGGGTGTAGGGTTTAGGGTTTAGGATTTAGGGTTTAGGGTCTAGGGTTTCGGGTTTAGGGTTTATAGGGCTTAGGGTTAGTCCTCTGAGAC